AATGACCCCCGGTCATAATTCGACGTCGAAAAATGATCCTTTTGTCTGTAGAAAAAGTGGTAATACCCTTAAAATCTGCATATTGTACGTGAAGAAAAATGACCCCGTAGAATAATGACTGCCTGTAGATTTTGTTTGGGATATATGTGTATTTTTCTTTTTCATTAAAAAGATTAAACATTGTAAATAAAAAGGCCCATGGACCAAAATGATCACCTGAGGTATGAGTAAAATGAAGATACGGGGATGATATATTGGTCTTATTTAATCTCTCGAATAAAATGATCCGTCTTTTCTGATAAATTGACAACATAAAGCGACTTCAAAATACACTGTTGAAATGCTTCCATTTTGATTTGACAAATGCATCATTGTTTTTATGAAGATTTAAAAAAAAACATTCCAGAGTGAAAGAGGGAAAACATTGTTTATAATATATACAGTACCCGCATCGTTATTCTTTACAATTCTATCGTGTCCTATCGTGCGTTTATCCTATCGTATCGTGCGTGTATCCTGTCGTATCGTGCGTGTATCCTATCGTATCCTATCGTATCGTGTTTTCCGTTTATCAGGATTTGCGTTTATCGTGAAGATCGTTTATCAGGTTCTATCGTGTATCGTGTTTTGCGTTTATCGTGTGCATTCGGAAACCCTCGCTTTTTATCTTTACCTTGAGAAGAAACACCCGAGATATCCCGAGTTCATTTTTCGTTTTGTTATTTTATTTACGATCCATTTAATTGTTGAAGAGAGAGAGAGAGAGAAATTAATAACTTATCTGATTCTCTGGTATATAAATTTAAATAAATAAATAAATAAATTACTAAATAAATAAATACATACATAAATAAATAACAAAAAACGTCAAGTACCGGCCGTAACCAAGCAGAGAGCGTAAATCGAAAGTTAAATCTATTTAGCACATAAAATAATCGGTCTACAAGTCAATCTTTTTTTTTTAATTCAGATTGTCGACTTGTAAGAAATACTATTTGTCAAAAATAGAAATATTATAATTTCTTTAAATAGTCAGAGTCACCAAAAGGTAGACCATTATTAACTTTCTTTTGATAATTATAGAAACATAAAACAGTAAGTATGTGAACAAAAAAAAAAAATAAATTGAAAAAATATCAGCATCTATATAAGGCCTATCTTTTTTTTTATGAATAATGGAATTAATCAATAACAAGTTATTCATTTTTCAGAAACACTAGTAGAAGCACCTTTTTATTAATATTTGAAAAGCATCATTTGGTAACACACATGTACATGTAGTTAAATTTTTATGCCTCTATTCTAAATGTATGCACAATCAATTATCTAAAGGATTGTTTCCAAATGATTCATAAAGGCATATACAATGTAATGCATGATCTTTATAACATTTACACACAAATTTTGTCTGTACGTGCAAGTATGTACATGTAGTTCATATTTATTTTTTTTTCTATTTATTTGTTTCTCTTATGTGTCTAACTAAAAAATAAATTACAATTTATAATGCATGAGCATGTTCTATTCAATTCACCATAATTATAATTATATATTATAATGTAGATGTTTAACCATTTTTACTTACTACTGCCTTTAGAAAATCGAAAAAAAAATCAGTATACATCTTACCTATTTCGGCGTGGAAATGAACTGAGTATATACTGTACACTGACAGACGGAAGCGCTCCATTACTTAAAGAACTGACAGCTATATGTACCTGCCTAATCAGTACACTGTCTTCCTGTCAGGTCAAGACCCAACCCCCCACCCCTACATGACACCTTAGCCCGTGTGTATTCAACGTCAACATACCTGAACTGCTCTCTCACCTGGTGTCAAATATTTACCTTGAACCCTTCTGGGTATAAATATATGCAAAAATTTATATGAAATCGCCCGGTTTTGCTTCGATACACAAGACATGTAAATGCTTTGAATTTAATTTCATAAGTGTTTATCAATTACATATAATACTTGACTATATTCAAGAAGTCAATGTATATTTTATTTTATTTTTTTTTTAATCGCATCTTTTTTTTTTTATTTTAGTGGTTAGCGCACCCCCCCCCCACCCCCCCGCTGACTGTGCCTCAGGTGGGATTAAGACTTTCATAATTTACAAAGTTTTGTTTTATTTTGCCGATATAGCCATAAATAAGATAAGTTTAGTAACAAATAATACAGAGTCTAATAGAAATGATTTACATTTATTCAGTCCGAAAATCTGCTTGTCATATTGTGGAAATTTACATTATTATTTATTTGTGTGTGAATCAGCTTAGCATACGGTTAGCTATGGTAGATATAAATTCTGTTAATGTGAATATTTATAACCAGCTTTTCCGCGAAAAGAATCCTGCTTTTCCGCGACAAATTACATTGCTTTTCCGCGATTATATTTTTTGCTTTTCTGGGATTTAATTTAGCACTTATCCTTTCCGTTAGTCAGGTAAATACTCTTTCTCCCTGCTATCAACCGGCTTCAATCTTTTTTTTTTTTTTTTTTTTTTTTTTTTTTTTTTTTTTTTTTTTTGGTCTTTACTGAGATTTTTGTCAGTATTCTTTTTGTTTCTATCTCTGCAATCTGTAATTGTGGCTTTGCATATTTTATCTTTATCGGTAAGACACATCGCCATTATTTAAAACATTGACCTTTCTATACGTAAATCCATCGTTTGTAATATATATTTGTTACCACGAGTTGGTTCGTTATGAACAATTTCCATGGCACCTAAAACATCACCGACCAGTGTAATATGTGATTCATTCAATTTTTATCACAGTGTGGTACTATCGCGTAGAACTTTACAGGGAGGTACATGATAATCCGGTAAATATCGACAACACTTTGATGTAAAGTACTTACCGTGACAATTTAAAAATCGCGAAAAGGAAGTATCGAAAAAAGGAGAAAACATACAACTTATAGTAAAATTCAATCGCGGAAAAGCAGTATAGGGTAGTTGCGGAAACGCAGACAGGTTGCAAAAATAAAATCGCGGAAAAGCAGGTGGGCGAGGCTTGTGTAGAAAGAATTTTCATTTCTTTAGGGGCGGGGGGGGGTCTAAAAAGAAATGTTTTGACAAGAAAACAAAAGAGGCTAAAGACATTATTGTTGACGGGCGATATTATATAAGCATTATATTTTACTATAAACTAAACATGTTGGTACACTAGCTGTAACATTTTTAGGTACACGACTGCGTTCTCCCTTCTGGGTCCTATACAGGCCTATGACATTGGAAATACCAGAGAATAAATACAAAAGAATGGAAATGCGACATTCTTTTCGGATACTAGATGATCTAGTGACGTTTATTAATTTTGTTAAATTTGATTTCTTTCGGCCGTTATCCTTCTTCATATCTTCATATATATACATATACAATGTGTGTACTTGGAATATGTAAATGATTAATTTTCGTACCGGTTATATATTTGTGACATATACATGTATATTTATAGAGGAGAGATTATATAATCACAGTCCAGTGCACAGCCTGTATCAACGCAACTAGTACTAGCATATTTCAGCAAGTAACGTGTTTAAAACTGACTAGTAAATTATTTTCGTAAGATTTGAATTATTAAATACCGATAATTTAAATTAATGCGATTTTGGATACATCACAGACTTCTAGCAGAAGATATTGAATCCAAATATTTCATTTATAACAGAGTTCTTCCGGATATATACTCAATATTTGATAATAAATTTATAAGGTTTCATTTGTTAAAATCTGAATATATTTATAGCGTTTCATGAATTATTGCACCTGGTTTTAAAACTTCGATTGACTACGGAATTTTTGAGCCACCATCATTAAATTTAAATCTCTGTTTTTAAACGACTAAAATTCAAATTTAACGATTCGAGGGAATTTCGACATTTGAATTATTATACAAGCAATCGCATAATTCCCACCAAAGAGTGCAATTTACCTAAAATAATTACAGTTTGAATTTTGTGACGAACCATTATTGACAAAAAACAAAAACAAAACATGTTTCCTGTACAAAGCATAGTTACCTCAAATGTTTAATCATAAAACATTTAATATATTTAAGCATTTAGATTTGCGGCTTTGTAAGTAATTAAAATCATCATACTACAGTGTATCTAAAAAGGAAACAATTCGTCTTGTCAAAATACGTTTCGCATTTTGAAACAATCCTATCAGGTTTTGCGTTTATCCTATCGTGAAGATCGTTTATCAGGTCTATCGTGTTTTGCGTTTATCGTATTTTGCGTTTATCGTGTTTTGCGTTTATCGTGTTTTGCGTTTATCCTATCGTGCGTGTATCCGGTCCTATCGTGCGTGTATCCTATCGTATCGTGCGTTTATCCTATCGTATCGTGCGTGTATCCTATCGTATCGTGTATCCTGTAAAGAATAACGATGCGCGTACTGTATCTATCTGCCTTTCACTGATTAACATTTTTTGTTGAAAATGTTAATGAGTACAAGACTAATTAAGTGGTATCTCCAATTCTGTTGCTTTCTTGGCCCAAGACTCTTCTTATCCTACTAACCTGTAGTTGTAATTAATCGTGTACTCATTGGCAATTGAAAATTGTTAATTAGTGAAAGACATATCTGTTGATTAAGTTGCATTTAAGTGTATGTATGTTTTTAGAGATTTTAACAGTGTACAAACATGTTATTTTCGAATATATAGCAAAAGTATCTTACAATTTGAATATGAGGAAATGTGGGATGTTTTAAATACTTTTGGTACATTGTCATAAACTTAAAGAAAAAGCATTTTTATCCACTGTATATAGCAAACAAAAGTGGAGATACAAGTAATTTTAGCCTAAACTGCAAGTAAAATTCCCATGAAACTCCAGAAATCGCAAAGGATTGGAGTCAATAAAAAAAAACTTCAATGTGGCATTGCGGCACCAAGAATTTATGCTCAAGTACGTATGTGATACACGTACATCAAATGTCTATTTTCAAAAAAAAAAAAAAAAAAAAAAAAAAAAAAAAAAACCTTATGCAAAGGTCAGTACTCATTTATTTCCAATTACTCTGTAATTGTCACAGAATATTATACAATCGTCTAAGTTTTCATTACGTATAAATTCTCGTTGTGCTTTGTTCTTTCTTGTTCTTTTCTTTATTGTCTTTAACTACCCTTGTTGATTCCTTTGTTGTTCAGGGCCTTAGCCTTGTTACTTCCATCGTCACCACCATCGTCACCACCATTGTCACTACCATCGTCACCACCATTTCCATTGCTGTTTCCATTATCATCTCCATTGCCCTTATTGCTGTCGCCGTTGTCATCATCCCCTCCTTTATTACTAGGACTGGATCTACCTGCAAGATTATAAGTCTTTACTTGACACATCTTATTGCTATAATGTTAACTAATGCTATAGACTAAAGAATAATAGTCAAGAGATACTAAAATCAAACACTTTTTTCTGCAGATTAAGAAAGGCCACAACATAATGTAAGCCATATTACATGTAGATACACTTAAAAATATGTTTCAATAATAAGAATAAAAGACTTACTACTGGCTGCCATAAGAACCATGCAGGCGATTAGCAGAATAATGAAATACCCCTTCATCTTGTTGACCAGATTGACTTCTCAAACTGAAAGATACAATGGAAACTGTGAAACAAGCAGTAAAAATAAACAAATTAATATATTATATACATTTATATTAGCTTTCTTCTATTTGTATGCTTTTACTGATATTTTGATGTATCATGAGGAGAGAGAGAGAGAGACAGAGAGAGAGAGAGAGAGAGAGAGGGAGAGAGAGAGAGAGAGAGTTTGTTGCATTTGCATATGCTCGAAAGTACAATTATATCATACAATCCTAAACTTAGGGCCGTTGTTTTGTAGGGGCATCTCCTGCAATTTTATTAAACAGATAACAAGATAACATCATATCTGGGAATGACGCTATAAAATAATAATTATTATTATTGTTATACCTTTAAAATTTTTCCTGTACAGATCTATACCAAAATAAAGTTTAACATTTCCAATGTTTTTATTGCGCCGTCCAAAAAAAAATCGATGTTAGATCATAAATGGAGATATTGGACCTGTCCATGAGATACTGGACTGGTGTCAAATTGTGGGAGGGATCAGCTATATTCTATTTGCATTCGTATTTAATACATGTAGAACTTTACAGAATTGACCGAGTTTAAACCGCAGTGCGGTCAAATGAAATTTCAAAAAATGAGAGGAATAACAAAATATTTATTAACTGTGTTCTCGAGCAAAATGCGTTTTGCCGACCCCTCACAGCCTCAGGAAAACAGTTTGGTTCTTGGGCAAAACGCATGTTGACCTCGAACAACGGCAATAAATGAGCATTTTATTATCATTAACATCACCATCATCATCACCATCATCATAAGAGGAGCGTTGATAGTATAATAAAAGAAAAAAATCAGTAGTAGTAATTGCTAGAACTATAAAGTAATATAACGGAAATGGACTTACCAAGAAAATATATCTTCAAGCAATGGGCAGCTGTTTCCAACTGGCGAAATTTACGTTTTCACGCATTTTTATAGACGAGCCTGGGCGTGAACTAATGAGGGGAGTTCCTAATTGTAGAAAGATTGACAGTACCTAATTACAGGCATCCAATCAGTACAGTTTTCTTCTAAATGTGAATTATGAAAGTTTAGATATTGAACCACCCTAAGATATTTTTTTAGGTAATTGTGCAAACAAATCACGTTATGTAATTGTAAAATTCCCTATTAAAAATCTAATTGTATAATTTAGGGTCAAATACATTGTCGATTAATAAGGAAAAGAAAATGCTTCAATTCAAAATATTTTAAATTTTTAATGTGAAAAATGAGCAAGTTGTCTTTGTGCATGCATATCTCTTTATATAAGTGTATGTTCGTCAAAAAGAATCTGTCTGATTTTAGTGTCAATCACATGAGAATCGGTATAAAAAATAAAAATTAATTGAAAAAATTGAAAAACATTAACGGAATTCAATTCCCTAATGTGAAAAATTAGTAATTTATTGGAATTTTATGAAGGTCTAAGAAGGACACCTTATATCAAAGACAATCACGTAATTGTAGTATTTCTGTTTTAAAGCATATTCTAGAAATAGTATAGATCTAATGTGGGTTCTTCAAAAGTCCAATGAGCTTTTTAGACATTTAAAATCTCATTTTTTTCAAAAATCGGTAATATTAAGCATACGCTATTTCTACTTCTTTTTCAACTCCTCGAGGTATATTAAAACTAGTTTTTTTTTTTAATGCATATATATCATAGACAACTGCTTAGAAATTTAAATACCTTGTGAATGGTCATTAAAGAATATTACTTTATTAAAAATCACACTGATTCTTCACACAGAAACTGTGAAGCTGGTATTTAAAGGATGCTGAAATTCCACATTGATAATATCTATGATGTATTTAGAGACCATGTCTTCTAACAAAATGTTGGAAAACCTATGGGTACTCCTTTTTAGTCGAGATACTTTATATCCCTATTAATTCATTCAAAAAAAAAAAAAAAAAAAAAAAAAAAAAAAAAAAAAAAAAAAACTACAATTTAGAAGAACTTGGTCTTAATTCCCAATCTGGTAATCCATTCTTTTCTCACAGTTCCCTTCAGATGAAATTCTTCAAAATCACCCCTCTCTTATTCATTATTCAAGATTCCAGTCAATGGAAGTGCATTTGATTCATTGTATCTAAACTGAATTTAAAAATGCCATAAAATTCCTTACAAATAAGGATATATTGCAGGGTCCAGTAAGTGTTCAATCAAGGGGGAATCCTTACTCCTCACCAAAATATGGATTACTGTGCTGGAGAAATTTTAAAGGTATTGCGCTACAACATATTCAAGAAAAGATGTAAATCAAATGTGGATTCTAAAAACCTCCGATGAACTTTAGGAAATTCAAATCACAAAACTTTTTAAAAATCAGAAGCATTAAAACATACGACTTTTGTACGCTTTATACAACCAATTCTGGTCATAATTTAAAAGCAGGCTTTTTAACATCATATATAACAGCTTCCTCCATGGAAATGGAACTTGGAAATTTTCACACCTTGTGATTGATCATGTACAAAATAACTTCGTTAAAATGATTCTGATTCTATACAAAAGTATTTTGACGTTGATATTAAAGAGGATACTGGAGTTCCTCACTGACAAAATCTATGCGGTCTTTGAAGACCAGGTCTTCCAACAATATGTTGAAATTCTGATGGGCACTAAACTGTGCTTTTTTTTTTATTAGCAGACCTGTTTTTTATTCCTATAAAGATGAATTCATTTATAAACTTTTTATGTTACTTTCATTCATATGTCGATTTGATATATCCCAGTGAATTCGAAATAAAGGACACTATATTGTGCTACATCAATTTCATATTTGGATGTTTATCTGACCATGGACGATTATAGCCAACTAATTACTAAACTATATGTCAAAACGGGATGACTTCAGCTTTTTCATCGTCAACATCCCTTATTTATCTAGTATAATATCAAATTCAACTGCATATCATGTTTATGTCTCCCAAATTATTCGATTCATTACATAAGAGCATATTCTGAGTATGATAAATTTTTTAACCGAGCAAAGTTAATGTAACAAGGAATTCAATATCTCGTTTTAACTAAAACATTTTGCAAATTCTTCGGTCGTTTTAATGACCTCTTTTGTAAATACCTATTGTTGGTTCATATATTGTCTGACAAATATCATATTATTTGGTAAGTCATTGTTGGAAATCCGATGGGCACAAGCTGTGCTTTTTTATTAGCTGACCTGTTTTTATATTCCTACGAAGATGACTTTATCCAAAAATGTCAACATAAGAAGAAGACCTTTGCTGTGGACTTTAGCTCATCTTAAGACGTTTGATCATTAAACAATTATTACATTCATTTACATATCGACTCGATATATCCCATATGACTCAGATTAAAGACACTATATAAATAAGTTGATGTTACAAGGATTTCAACAACTCCGATTAAGAATATACGAAACGTAGTTTGTACTTTATTGTCTTTTCCCCTGGAGTTGAAGAGTTCCAATATTTAAAGGAACTGTGTGCTAAACTTTAATGTCTATAAATGCTGCTGTACACTTCTTCTAAAATAAGTTTCGACAAACAAAACATCTAGAATATATGTTTAGTAATTTATATTTTTCTTTGAATTATACAAGAATTTACAGCAATTGATATCTTTTCAAGAACCCTGGTAATGCATGCTGATTTTTTGTCTACGAACATCTGATGGCATATAATTTTAAATTAAGAATATCTTGAAAAATTATCTGTAGGTAAGGTACGTTGCATATCTCTTTAAACTAAGCTTTTTGCAAATGCTTTGGTCGTTTTATTGAGCTCATTTGTAAATACAACCGATCGTTCTTCGCATTTTGTCTGATATGTACAATACTTTTTGGTACATTATCATTTTTATATTAAATTTGACAACAGAGTACTCGGTCTACCTGATCAATACATAGGGCTCAATGGAAGGGATGCTTACTTTTTCAAGACACCTGGGTGGTGTTTTACAAAAGAACTTACCACTAAGACCAAAATCTACTATTGCAATTTATTTTCCTCTTTATATTGATTAAATTGTGATTTGAGTGTAAATAGGAAATATTCAGTTACATAAATTTATATTAGTTTTATCTTACAAAATTATGAAGTTGGTAAGATTTTAGAACTATGTGAAAGTTTTAGATTTAGTCGGAAGTTCTTTTGTAAAACAGGGCCCAGATCCCACCTCATGAATACGTATTCCAGGGGTCCATGTTTTTCCCCTGTTCACGATTCGTTTTGTTTACTGAATTACTGAGTTTACTGTTCGTTATCTTCAACTTTTACATCGAGCTTTCCTTATGAAAGATGGACGTGTATGTACTTTTTAAACACTCTTTGAAAGATTAAAAGTCATTCACTGTTTAAAAAAAAAAAAAAAAAAAAAAAAAAAAAAAAAAAAAAAAAAAAAAAAAAAAACATTTTTAGCTATGTACAGATAGAAAAATCATAAAAACATTTTTTTTCTATAATAGAAAATATTAGAAAAATGCACTTAGATTTTTTTGTTATGTACGAATGAAATTGCATTTTGTCGTTTATCACAAGAAAAATGTGAATGAGTAATATATTGGAATCCCTGATTTTATATGGTAGTTTGAAAACAAACATAAATGAATATATCTTTTTCAGTATTATTAAGAAATTACAGTAACAATTCATATCTTGAAAAACCACCGTATGTATTAAGCATCCACCAGAAAAAAAGTCAAGTGACCGGAAACATTTATTTGAAAAACGGCGAATTCAAAAGATAAAAGAACATTCATGCAAATATATTAAGGAAAAAAAGAGCTAAAAATCGCTCTTCTTGCAATTTATTCCTCACAATAAATTCAATATGAATACATATCTTAGAAGAGAGAACAGATAAACTTCTTATAGCAATGATTCGGAAATACCCTTGTTAAACAAACCTAGGTAGTCGTTTCAGATGGACTGGGCACTGATCTAGATGACCGTCAGAAATATTTGTTGTAAATGAATGATTGGCGACATTTCCATATTGTTATGAAAGCCATAATTCAGATTAGTTTTAAGAACAATACAAGTCTCCAGAAATAAGATTTTGGTGTCGAAATGATACAAGGACTGTCTAAAACTTTATTTATCGAGAATACAGTTCATAAATTGTACCCAAAACTATACATCAGTGTTTGAAATCTAGATCTCTTTAAACCATTTGCAAGTAGTGACACATAAAGAAAATAACATTCTTGACAAATTTTGACACTAGGCATGACTAATCAAAAGCAGACCAGTTATATTTATTACGTGAGCAGTTGTCCGACGTGATATATTTACGATATGATTAACAAATCAACTCTCTTCATTTTCTATGTGATTACAAATAAACCTTAAATTAACCAGTTTTCCAAGAACTGAGACAATAAATGTCACCATTTATGACATTAAATACATACATCACATGAAATATATGCAGTTTAGATGCAGATTTTACTTTGTCTGCTCATCATTTAGACAATGCAAGGTCTTATGCAATTTTAAAAAAAATGAAATATTGTCCTTTTTATGCTGAAAAAAAATGAAGAAAAATTTACGCAGTAAGCAATATGATAATCGTAATTCTCATTACACAATGTCATATAAAATATTCCAGAAATACAATTGTTAAAAGCAGCTTTAATATTTTTTCATAACGATTTTCTGAGAAATGAAAAATTCAAGGTCGATTTTTCTGATACAATCAGTTGCTAAAAATCAAAACATCATTTCAAACATCTCATAGTGATATAATGAAATAAACAAAGGTGCTGTCAAACGTAACATTTGCTTCTTGTAAATCATAGCTTATAAAATGAAAATGGTGAAAAAAGAATTGTGATTGATTTTAAAAAATACAAACAATAAAAATCTGTGAACTGGGTATAAAAGAAGGCGCCTGGAAATTCCAGAGATG